GTGAAAATAAAGGACTTGCCGAAGAGCAGAGACTATCGGAAGAACGCAAGACGTAGCTTGGATCTAATTGTGCGAATCACACGCTACTTGGTGAAGCAAAGTGACGGAGATGTGCCGCCAGGCACGCGCGGGGTTCCGTGATTTGTTTCTTCTGGCGGGCAAAAGTACTCAGCTGCATCCTAACCTCACCCTCCAGGTTCGACGCAGCGTGTTACTGTGAACGCAACATTCTGCCTCACGAGTTTAAAACGTGAGAGATCTCTGTCATACAGGAGCGCGTGTGCTCACGCACGGATACACAAGCACAGTATGTGCTTCAGTTTTGCTTCTGTTTTGATGGACACAACTTCACTAAGGCAGTGGTTTCCAAAGTGTGGCCCCCTCCACCTCATTATGTGGGGTTGACTTGGTGGAGGGCCCGAGCTGTGTTCTGAGAAGGTTATGTAGCAAAACTGATCAGAATATGATTTTCGAAATGTCAGAGATCGATTGATTAATTTCACATATTTTTAAAATCTTTATAATTATTAATTTATAACAGGCCACTCGGTTGAGTCAGTATGCTATAAGCCGGAAGATCGCGGGTTCGATTCTTGATGAGGTCATTGTATTTTTCAATTGACTTAATCTTTCAGCCGTACTATGAGCCTTGGGTCGACTTAGACTCTAACAGAAATGAGTACCAGGAATCTTCCTGGGGTTAAAGGATGGATGGCGCGTAAGGTTGACGACCTCACCCTCCATCTGTGAGCCGACTGTCTAGAACAGGCATGTCAAACTCAACTTGTACAGAGGGCCACCTCAGCCCTATAAATAATAGTCCAGGGCCGCACTTCAAAATATAAATATACATTAGATTTTGATACAAGGAAATTTAATTCTATTTATTATTTAGGAATAATTTCAATATAATTACCTAAAGTCACATATCTTACAGTTTTAAAAAGCAAGAGAATGCCATTTTTGACAAGTATCAAACAGCTTTTCAATATGTAAAAAGAGAGATTACACAAGAAATTATGTTAGAAATAGCAAAACATAGAATTTCCTGCAGCCTGCTAATTTATGTCTTTGTGAGTCTTCTTGTCTTCTGGTCTGTTGGAAAATTGTCTTTACAAAAAATATTTCTACTAAAATTAATATTGATTTTAATATCAATTAGCTCTAAAAGATGAGGGGCCGCACTTTGTAGCTCTGGGGGCCGCATATTTGACACGGCTGGTCTAGAAACTTGTGGGAGCCTCAGCGTCTCATAAACATATAGCCCTCCATGGTATGTTACATGTCTAGCTTTGCCCTTTATTCAAAGAAGAGGCAATGGGAAACGTCCAGTGTTTGTGTTGGCATATGGCACAATTTCCTCACCAATATTTAGACTTATAAATTAGGTTATTACAGTATATAAGTGGAGCTGGGACAGCACAGTCGATATAACGATTGGCTACGGACTGGACGACCGAGGGGTCGATTCCCAGTAGGGTCAAGAATATTCTCCACGTCGTCCATGTCGGATCTGTGGTTCATCCAGCCTCCTAGCCAAAATGTATGGGTGGTCTTTCCGCAGGGTTAAAGCCGCCGGGTCGTGAAGCTGACCACTCAGCACAAACTACTGCTGAGGTCAAGAAATCGTGGATCTATACATCCACTCCCCTATACGTCTTCACGGCGTAGTGTTTAGTTAGGTAAGCACAGGGACAACTTTACCTACATCAGTATGTATGACGCATCTGCAGAGACACGAAGATCGGGCCCCGGATTCAGAGACAAACTGGGGATTTAGTGAATACGAAGTGGAAAAACGAAAACCGCATCAAAGCATCTTGTGAAAATGCGCCTAGAAAATATCAGGGACTCGTCATGCTTTGGTTTCGCTGGTGGCGTCTTCTGTCGCAGAATCAGACGTAAGGCGGTAAACGCATTCGGAGTCGGTCTGTTGTGAGCTTAGGAGTAATTAGCATTCCGCGAGAATTCGAAACCCGTTTCCTTCAGAAAGTTCTCCACTTTCGTAAGTGGCCAAGTGTCTCGAGTCCGGTGCTTGGGCTTCTGTAGAGAAATTGGTTATCTAGTGCGTTATTACGGATAGCAGTCCATGTAAGATTTTCGATTACTCACAGCAGTTGACAACACAGGCTGCACATTTTGGTCTCAGTTCACAAAATAATATTTTCGAATATATTAAATTCATTTTTCTTTCATTTAGAAATTGGCCTCTTTTTAAACGTGTTTACTCAGTCGTTCTTTTCCTGTGATTCAGGGTCCCTGCAAAAAGATGCCTAGTTTCTCCGGTCTTCGGCTTGAACTCCAGTTTTTTCCTGTCCAATCCCTTTTACCCGCAGAATGTTCTGAATGCCCCCATCCCAGGCTCTGTTGGTACTCTGCTAGATGTTCCTTGTTGACTGGCCTGAGGTGCTTCATTAGGGTACGTTTATTTGCGCGCTTATGATCCGTCTGCATATCCTTTTAAGCTTTTATAATTTTAAATAATATGTATGTTTTAAAATTTAGTTTTGGTCTATTTTGTCTGGTCTCCTTTTATATTTTCATGTAGTATGTGTGACTACAGACGCGGTTCGGATTGGTGAACATATTTATTGACCACTTACAGGTCGTAACTACAAATAAATATAAGCTATCGCTGATTTCCACACTTTACAAATCACTATACGCTAAGTTCTTAGAGCCTGCAGTGTCTTCGCTCATCGTTTCCTGGCAACGGTTTCTAATATTGGCTACTACTCTGCAGTGTCTTCACTAGACTTTTTCTGGTAACGGCTTCTAACGGTGATTATTCCTCTGATTTCGTGCTCAAGATCCGTACAGAACTGGCTGCCAAGTATCAACTGATTTGGTTGCCCCACTTCTCTTCTTTATAACTTTTCGGCACGGACCATGTAGAGAACACCGTTCATTCTCATATGCTAACCGTTTTTCTTTACAGTTGGAATGTGTTTACAGAGCCGTTGCCCAGAAATGGATCTGGTAAAACAGCCCATCTCACGGTCGTTGCATAGCAACAATACTACACGCTACAATATTCTGCTTAACTATTAGTGCAGCTTTCATTGAAATTTCGATGGGAAATCCGTCAATTTCCTATTATTAACTTTCCCTTTTTTCGGCCCTATTACTTTCAATCTACTCACGTTAGTGTGTGATTCGTCTAGACCGAGGTTTCAGGCCATTTTATATGAATAATAAGTCCAAATTTTACGTCGACTCCTTTATATAATAATATACATTAAATATCGACATAAAATTATCTATATTCACAGGATAGACAACGATACACGTTCCACACTTCATTGCGTATTCCCAGAGTTCTGATCTTTAGCTTACGAAAGTATTTTATATACGCAGATAGTGATATATAAGCCCATCACAGTGGCCGTGCAGTCTAAGCCCACTCGAACAGTAGGATCCTGGGTTCGAATCCCACTCGAGACATGGATGTCTGTGTGCGTTTATTCTGTGTTTGTTTTCCTGTGTGTAGGTAGCGGCCTTGCGACTGACTGATCCCCCGTCCAAGGAGCCCTGCCGACTGTGTATAGATTAACTGAAAAAGTGGCCAAGGCCCACAAGCGCTGTAGAGCCGTAGATAGATAGATAAATAGATATAATTTGTATTGATTGTAATTAGGATACATGTTCATCTGTTAATGAATATGATTACAACTACGTTTTTCTACTGGAACATAAGGTAGGCTACACACCGGCATGCGTCAAGACATGTAACAGTGAAGACACAATGTCTGCGGCATGACGCAAAGAAAGGAGCACAGTTGAAACGAATGAGATTATGAAAACCGCCGCACACCGGTCTGAGTCTTGATGCTAACGTAATGACATGTCTTGACGCATGCCGGTGTGCGGCCTAGCTTAGAGTAGCGATAAACTGATGCCTTGTTCACAACAAAGTAGAAACTTGTTACTATAGGATTCTGACGGTGGTGTATAACACACTGATATGTTGGGNCAAGGCACAATGTCTGCGACATGACGCAAAGAAAGGAGCACAGTTGAAACGAATGAGATTATGAAAACCGCCGCACACCGGTCTGAGTCTTGATGCTAACGTAATGACATGTCTTGACGCATGCCGGTGTGCGGCCTAGCTTAGAGTAGCGATAAACTGATGCCTTGTTCACAACGAAGTAGAAACTTGTTTGGCTGGAGATTGTTGGGATGACTGTCGGGCCTTTCTGAAGGAGGGAAGAAGCGACCTGTGAGCAACCGCTTCCGTAAACCGGAAATGTAGATCAGAATGTAATGTTAAATTGAATTTCGTTTTTAATCCGATTGAATGGCCCCAGCGGTCGGCTTTTACGTCTAGTTGTTTGAACCTCTGAATTGTGGCAACAGAATCATTTGTTGTTCTCCTGCCCAGCCAAACGTCTTCTATCGTCTCACGGCTTCTCTATCGTGTAATATGACTGACGTACTATAGGGACATTTCGGTTGGAGATCGGCCTATTCTGGGCTTATGCACAAAATCACTGATTAAAACACAGAGTGGAAATTGACGTGTAGTTTGGTCAACAGACGTTTCGGTGAAATATATAGTCTCCATTATCAAGGCTGCTTACTGCCTGCTTCATGATGGTTTCTTGATTCGCTTATTCTTCGACCCTTAAATTTTGAGGCCACATGAGCCTCCGAAACGTCTGTTGTCTTTTACCGGAGTATGTAACGTTATATCCAAGAAAACAAGACTCCCCGTAGCAGCGGTAAGGACTTCACATACAGCAGAGTGGTAGTTAATTGTGAAAAATACAAAAGAGGAAGATTCCTAATTTGGACCTCCCGATTACAGCCTATGTTAGGGTTCTGAACTTGTAACGAGGATGAACTAAGTCAATTTGATGTACACACTCTGAGCACATATTTCCAGATAGAGATCTGTTCGTTTAAACAGGGCAACTTGTTATTGTTTTTAAAAAAGGAAGAGAACAGACGCTGTCGGCCTGTGCTTCATGTGGCTGTTTCCTGCCATCAGCCCGAGATGGATAGATGGGGTTCCCGCCGCCTCCGAGGAAGCGTTCCGTAATTGAAATTCAAGAGGCCCACTTTTCCTTCTCGAAGCATGCAACCAGGAAATACAGGTACTGGGCTTATTCGTAGAATGAATTAAAATGCTCTTTAAAATTATATTAAAGTATTTTTTCCTTGGGACTACAGCCACAGTGGACCTAGGCCTACCTCCATGAACTTCTCCGTTCACTTCGGGTTTTCTAGATCTTAGACATTCGGTAGGACTCCTTGGGTGGCTGATCAGCTCGTCGCAAGGCCTCTACCTGTAGACAAACAGAAAAACGCACACAAACATCCATGCCCTGAGTGGGATTCGAACCCACGATCCCGGCTTCCGAGCGAGCGAAGACAGTGTGTGCCTTAGACCGCTCGGCTACCGTGACCGGCTATATTAAAGTATATTCGTTACAATTGTGTTGCCCTGCGTTAGGTGCCATGGCTTGGATGTTATTTGTAATATGCAAAGGAAGGTACGTGTATTGTGTGATACAGTGCGTTACTTTTTGCTTGTACTGCAGGTTTTGTTTTGATAGGTGATATGCTTGTTATTATTATTGTAGCATGCAGATCCTTTGCAAAGCGGTGACTTTGTAAAGAACGGTCGTTGCTAGGTAATGCCCGCAACATACACCACGCAACTAAAGAATAATGGTGTTTTCTACGCGGTCCATGCCGAGGGGTTATAAGTGAGATGGAATTCAGAGCTAGTGACTACAAAAGACAGACCCGTCCTCTCGTCAGAGAAGGCGCCATACAAAAACAAGACCGAAACTGTCAAACAGTAATAAATATCTGGTAAAAAGCCCTAGATTGGGCTCGACAACAAGACTGACTGACTGACTTTGACTCTGACTTTGACCTGGTGACTACAACAAGAATAAGTTATAAAAATCAGGAAAAATGCAAATGTTTGCAAAATTTGACAAGGCAAACCCCGACACAGGAAATATATAAGTGGGTTAAACTTGGCGGCGGTCAAGCATATGACCGTTCAAGAGACTAGACTACCATTGTAGCGGGAGCTACTGAAAATAGGGCAAGATTTGCTTTACTGAGCCTGGACTGACAGATGCCTTGTATATATTGCATATACGTACATTTAATAACATGTAAAATATAAATTGTACGTACTGGCAACCGATATATTACTTCAGAATGTGATTCTGAAAAAAGAGAGACCCGTCCTCTCGTCAGAGAGGGCGCCATATATGGACAGACAGTAACTGTTAAATAAGAACTAATCTAGTCATGAACCCCAAGCAGGCCCTGACACCAAGATATATTGACTGACTGACCGTCCGTGAGCTAGTGACTAGCCCGTGTGGAGAGAGATTCGAATACCTCCATCTCCACCTCCACTCCCTGAGAGCCGTAGGAGGAGACGAAAAGGGAACCCAGTGCCTGGGGGTATAACTGGGCCACAACTTCACTTGGGATATAAATACAGAGACATGGCCCTCCAGGTTGGGGGTGCCTGAAATCTGTGAGAATGAAATATGGTCAGTAGTCCCGTGGGACTCGAACCTGAGAATGACTGCGCTGGCAAGCGCCATCAGCAATTGTAAGCAACAGACCATCCTCTCGTTACAGAGGATGTTACATAAGGACTATGACCGCAAAGGTTCCGCTGAAAAAATTGATGGTGGTGTCTCAAGGGGCTTGGCGACAAGGCGAACTGATGGGCAGTAAACAGCCTGTCTTAAAGTAACTCTGACTCTGACTCTGAGCATAGGAGTTCTGGGATTGTGGCTGGACTGTAGCGTCATGAACACAGAAACTGAAGAATTTCCATTGTTAAAATCCGTTACCAAGAAACGCCTAATAAAGGCTGAGAAGACTTTATATTTGCTGTAGTAACAGTGATATCTCAAGTGTATAATTCAGTGAGACTGTTATAGTTCCCGTGTTAAAACCCGTTACCAGGAAATGTCTATTGAAGCAGAGAACACTAGACTGTGTGTTCCGGTGATTCGTAAATTGTGGAAATAACAATAGTGTTATTGTTATTTGTAGTTACGACTCGTAAGTGGTCAATAAATCGAACATCCAACCAAAAACCCCGTCTATAGTCACGCCCAAACACGTGACATATACGCGAATACATTTAAAAGAACTAATACAGAATTTTAATTATTTCAGTGGAGATTTATGTCTTACCCATATATTTCAATTTCATTTAAGTCTATTAAATATCTTAGTTTAACCCTGATATTCAGTTATAATAGACCGTTACACTGTAGTTCGGTGTCTTGTCAGTATATCTATTTTCTCTTAAGTCTATTTAAAGTGCTACGTTAACCATGAGAATCCCTTACGATAGAATATTATATTACAGTGTCAATATATCGACCTTTCCCTTAAGCCTGTTGATTGTGCCACTTTAACTCGGCGAGTCCCTAATAACACACAATTACATCGAGCTGTGCGGTGCGTAACAGAGTCAACATACCCTGCTCTCCCCTACGGGAAACCATATCACTTCTTCATTTGTTCACTCCCTCCTGTGCCGTGGTGGCAGCACTAGTGACATGAACTTCCAAATCGGATTCGAGACTTTTCAAAGCCTCAGCAAGGTTTATTTCCCCTATCTTTCTCTGTCTACATCCTTTTCTTTTGTTTGTTCCTTTGTTTTCCAGGATCTTCTGCTTTCCATCAAGGAAGTTTGAGAGAAATCGAATTCTTTACCCTCTGTCTCACTAAGTCTATCCGGAATCCTCGAGTCAACACAGTGAGTCGACTTAATTCAGGACCGCGAGCAGCCAGATTTGTTGTTTTAATCGTCGTTGAAGGGCAACTGAGAATATGGTTCATTAAACTGAAAAATAGATACATGGCTTACGTTAGATGTTATGGGCCGATAACAATGGCCGTGTGGTCTAAGGCATGAAACATCTTCACTCGCTGACAACCTCACCGCCATCTATGAGCCGATTTTCTAGAAAATGTGGGAGCCTCGACGTCTCACAAGTCTATGGGCCTTCACGGTTTGTTACAGGGCCAGTTTTACCTATTCTATCTTAATAATCAAAATACGTAAATATTTGTAAAGACGCTCATGTAAGTTAGTGAATTATTTAGTAGAATTTGAGATACATATTGAAGAGAAATGTGCAAGTGAAGAGAAAAATTAACGTATTTTCAGAGAATGACATAGCGAAACGAACCCTTAAAAGAAAAATTCTTAAGGACACTCGAAATTGTGTAATAAAATTGCATTTTTTTCATATGATTCGTGGATCTGGAAAAGGAAATAAATCATATACGAGTAAGAAGGGCTCATGCAGCTGAAGTGCTTTTTATGAGACAGTAACGGAAGTTTTACTCAGAGATAAAAGATGGGTGGACACGCTGGAAGGTATATTAGAGTAGTGACATGCCTAACACAGATTTTTAGAAATATAGAAAATAAAAAAAAATATCTCAACGTGTTGAAAGAATGGCAGAAAATTATGTTCCAAAAAAGTGTCTTACTTCCTCTCCTCAATTCCGGAGCGCTGGCATCACGGAGCGCGTAACACGTGAACAGCAGCCCCTCGCCAGCCAATGGCAATCATTCTTTGGCCTTGTAATACATATTTGACTTTTGATATGGATTTTTTGTTATTATATAGCTACGCTGTCAGTACGGAGACTATGTAGCACTGGTGATAAGAGATTTAATGCCGGTCACAGTGACCGCGCTGTCTAAGGCACGAACTGTCTCCTCTCGCTCGAACACTGGGATCGTGGGTTCGAATCCCACTCAACCCATGGCTGTCTGTGTGGTTTATTCTGTGTTTGTGTTCTGTGCGTAGGTAGCGGCCTCGCGACGGGCTGCTCCCCCGTCCAAACCGTCCTACCGACTGTGTATAGGATTAAGAAACTGAAAAAGAGACCAAGGCCCAACGAAAGGGCTGGAGAGACATAGATAGATAGAGAAGAGATTTGATGAAAGTGGAGAAACTGATATTGGATCGAACAGTGGACAGCATGGCAGAAAGCCAGCGCTCACACCCTGAACTATTAGGTGGCCCATGAAATGTTGATGAAGATGAGACAAAAGTGAGGTGTGGGATTTGAGGTTTTCACAGCCGTGGTTATGAAAAGTATTATCTTCCGAGATATAAAGCTATATTACTGTATTTGTTGAGAGTCAAACAACGTTTCGGAATAATATATCTCAATCTTCAGTGTTGATGAGTATACTTGCCACCTACTTTAACATTGGTTTGATGATAAGCTTATTCTTCGAACCTGAAGATGGAGGCGAATATGTCCCTCTGAAACATCTGATGACTTGCAACGGACTGCATGGAGTTATATCCCAGAGTTAGGTGCACGCAGACAGTGGCGACTTAAGCCTCTGTGCCTGTTTGTCTTCTAATGGAATATACCATGTGCTGTTAGTGCACAGTCTGCATTATCAGGGCTTTCCATATCAGGCACTGCAAGTGACAGGTGCACTTCGTCATCGGTACGATTTTACAGCCATGCCACAACAGTAAAAAAAGTAGGTTATATCATATCAGCTGCGTTTCATATGCCACTCAGCTAATATGTTGAGATTAAATAATTCAAATAGAAATATATCTCTCAGTACATGCAAGTAGAAAACATAGAAGCTATGGAGCCCGTTTTATTATCTTTACAAAAGAATTATCCGCTTTGTAAAACGCTGAACAACAAATGGAACATCAGAGTGGGCTTTTTGTGACAGATCTGTGTGCAGTCCCGTTTGGAGGCTCGCGAGAGGGGGGGAAAATTCAGATGTTTTTCTGTGAAGTAATTTAATGCAGTGGGACCATATTTAGGTTGGAGGGGGTTTGAATTCCCTATCATCGCCAAAATTTCAGCGGCAACGTGAATGTCAAATGTATTGTCACGTCACTTTTTTTTCTCATTGGTGCTACAGCCTTCATTTGGGCCTAGGCCTACCTCCATGAAACTGTCCGTTTCACTTCGGTTTACTAGATCTTAGACATACGGTAGGACCCTTGGGCGGGTGATCAGCTCATCGCAAGGCCTCTACCTGTAGACAAACACAGAAAAACTCACACAATCATCCATGCCCTGAGTGGGATTCGAACCCACG